TTCAGGTCGTCACCAGGCTTCAGGTCTTCAAGGCTTCAGGTCGTCACTAGGCTTCAGGTCGTCAGCAGGGTTTCAAGGCTTCAAGGCTTCATGTCTTCAGAGGAAAGTCACCCGGGATTGCCAGCACACTGAGCGATTGTTCTTCCCCCTTACTTCATCATGCCCAGTTCCTCTTGATGGCCTCCAACCTAGCGATGGCCTCCAAAGTGTTGACCTGAAGGGGATCTTGAAATGGAAAACTTTGCAGTTGACCTCTCTCTGGCAGGGCTTATTCGTCCATCGCATGCAATGCCTGTCAGGCTTTCCCCACCAGCGAGTTGGGATCCCCACGTCTTGTGTCAGCTTGGCTTCCTCTTCCAGCGCAATATTTGCAGCAGCCCGTCAGCTTTGAGAAAAGGACAAACCTTGCCGCCAGTGTTGCAGGCGGTGTTGCACTTGAATTGCTTGGCCCTCGTGCATCGCGCCATCAAACCCAAAAAGTTTTTTCGGGGACAGGCACTGAACAAGGCTTTCTCAATGCTGTGCCCGCCGATAACCTATGCAACGCCAGACGGACATTTAACGCCTTAAGAGTTCAAAGTTATTCCGAGAATGGTCAATGATTTAGAAGACCCAAAAACACCAAAGTTCAGGCCTTCAAGCCAAAGGGCCAAGTGCCAACCCCAGCAAGGCCGACAAGGTCTTTTTGAACCAATGCCACGCCCCAAAAGCGTCCGTGCCCCCCCAGTTCCTCTGCGGTTGCTGTGCTGGCTACTCAAACATGTGTCCTAATGCATGGCACCATGCTGGCCCGCTAGCGGGCCTTTTCGGCCGAACTCGGCAAGTTTGCTCTGATGTTTTTCCTCCCTCTTGATCTCTCATGTCAGCCATGGCACTTGTCACCACCAAATATGCACCAAACCCACCTCGTGTCAGCTTGGTGCGGCTTAGCTCAGCTCACCACCCATTGATGCCTCGCATTATCATCAAATCTCAGTTAGGACAGATTCTACGCTGCAAGTGCAATTTAATGAACGCAAGATTCTCAAGGACGCGTAGCTAACAAAAGGGCCAAAAACGGTCCCTGGAACTGCTCCAAGGCCATTCCTGAGAGCTTTCGTGGTTTCTGAATTTGCACTTTGCTTGGGCAGATGGTTGGAAACAGATGGTTCCCACGCATTCAGCTGCAACCTCCAACTGTACTTTAAACCACTGTGCACTCGCAGGTGGGCAGCTGCACTTTCTGTGTTGACATCAGCCTGCCAGGCATTTCTCAAGAGAGAAACCGGCACGAAGGATTCTTGGCAAGTTTTTGGCGCTAGTGATGCACAACCAATAAGTAGCAACCCTGTGTGGTTTCTTAGAGCGGACATGGAACAACATGAGCAGAGGACATGACTGCATGGACAGGCAACTTTGCAGCCAGACACCGCTTGCTTCAATGGTGCGATCAGTTCATGTGGGAAAAGCAGCGCGTGGCAATTTGCAATCGCCTTGCTATCAAGAATGTGTGGGGCTTAGATGAAAAGCTGTGGTCGCGAGTGTGCAGTTGTAGAGATCGGACTGGCAGCTAGTGCGTGAAAGGACACACCGAGATGGCATTACATACAATGCCATTCTGGCAGCTCTAAGCAAAGGCGGGGCCACGACATCCAAAAATGGGCGAGGGGAATGCACAGTGTTCTGGCTGTGTTTATCCAACAAGTAGACCCACATGTGTTACCAATGCTTTTGGCTTGGCTGTTTGGAGGCAGTGTTTGGCGGCAAGCCGTTCGAATTTTCCATATGTCTCAGCTCCTGGACATTCCAAAGATCTGTGCAGGCGGTATGGCAACTGTGATCTTGGTACATCCTGGTACCTATTGGTGATGCATTCTTGATTCTTGATACGGTGCCTGTTTCGTGTTCGTTGCTTGTGCCTTGAGGATGGACATAGTATCTTTCAGTGCTGCGATTTCTTCCTGTGTCCGAGAAGGCTGGGAATCCAATGGGGGCACTAACCCTAAACAATGCAAAGCATCAGAATTCGAAGACTATATATATAATTTATATTAATTTATATATAACATGTATATTTTTATGTAGAATGACAAGGTAAACAGATGAACAAAGGAAAACCAGGCCCTCTTAAATGGGAAACATGCACCTTGACTTTTTTTGTTCTTCTTTCTGTCTATTTTAGGGTCAGGCAGCACCAGGTCTGGATTGCAGTCTTTGTCGAAGCCTGTTCAGCTGTCGCCAAGCCAAAAAAATCGGCATGTAGCTGGTATGCCCGAGGGTTGAGTTGCGAGATTTGAAAACCCAAATTCTGTGGCATCACCCTTCTAAATTTGTTTTGTTTGACCTTTTATGTTCAGATGTGCTTTGCTGCCAGGCGAGTGGCAACAAGCATTGTTGCTTTTGTGCGAGATGCAGCGGGCGAGAGTTTCGTTGAACACTTGGACAGCCAATGAAGTGATGGCCTCCTTCGCAAAGGCGAAGACATCGGTAAACCGGTAAGCCCAAAACCTTTACTCCACCTTTCAATCAAATTGATGCAGATGTGTCATGAAGTGCTTCATGACGAGGCAGTAAAATGGCAGCTAGCAATTCAAATCTTCACCGTGGAGCCAAACTTATCCAGCGTGGCGCCCAAATTCCCTGGAACCTTCTTGTGAATTCTTCACAAGGAATAATTTTCTGTGTGTAGTGTGTGGTTGTACTCACACCTTCGCCGCCTGCATGGAAAGCATTCGTGCTCCCTTTCGACTACGCTGGTACCTGTCTTAGGCGTGTTGCACTTAATAATCGGCAAGTGCCAACATGCACACGCTTTCAATAATGCAATTCCTTTCGGGCAACATAATTAACACTATTATAATTTTATCGTTTCTCTTTCAGAACAGCCGCAGGGCAAGAGCACACGATGTCAATAGTGCGTTGTCATTTGGGCAGCACAACTAACATTTTTAATGATTTATTCGTTTTCATCGGCTTTAAACATGCATAAAAAACAGTACGTTCTAGAGCAAAAGAGCACCTTCAAGCTAAAGCTTAATAAGCGATCTAGCAATTATAGTTCTTTACGCGAACTGAGATGCATTTGTGCCTGCGCACAATTTATCATGAACAGGTGCATGCAATGCAGAGATCGGTCTTTCTTGAACAACCGGTTTGAGAGAGTGTACCCTCGCTCCGGAAGGGGGGATGCAAGGGATCCAGTATAGACAACATTCTTGTCACAACTGGGCGGGCAAATTAGCCCAAGAGCAAAGGCTGGCATAGTCCCGAGTCACTATGTTGAAGCGCGACGCGCACAGAAAAAGCATAGCCTGGAGTGTAGAAAGGCATTGGACCACTCAAAACTTGCAGCACTTAATTTTGTTCAGCTGAGGGGTTGCATGTGATACTTAGTTTTGTTTCTTATGACATGGAACGTGCGTCCGAAGGAGTCTATTCCAGTTTGCGTGCCGATTTGTTCTGACCAACTAGTCCTTTCACCACAATCTCACTGCAGAATGCAGAACCAGGTCAAAAAATGTGGTCAATGCTTCTGGAACGCGCTGGCCAGAACTTCGTCGGAGTTCAAGGAGCTGGCTTTGGATGCTTTGGGTGATGGGGAGGGCTCGGTTTCGCTTCATTTAGGCCTGTGCCTGTATTTGATCCCACTTAGGGCCCAGGAGAGAGGGAAAGAATGAGACTAGGTTGTCCAATTTTATGAGGATGGCAAGATGAGACACTAACCTGGACGCTTGGGCCACTCGTGTTTTTATTTAAGAAACAAATCACAGAATTTGGATCCTACCGGCGCTACCGGCGGCAGTTTTTGTTCCGCTCTTTGGTCCAACTAAGGCGTGGGTATCAGGAGGAAAGTAATGCATGCGTATCGAAGGTATCCTGGTAATGACGAGGTTGAACCTCCGCGCTATAGACTTGGGTCTTGGTCACTACTACCGCTATATTGTTTTCCTTTTTCTTAAGTTTAGACTTCTATACTTTTTTTCTTTCTTTCTTCTTTTCTTCAGGTTTTTCTTGAGCATTTCTCTTTTCCAGGAGCGCGTGCGAGATCTCAGGCCGAGCTGCACGACCGTGACCCTTCAGTTTCGGTCAAACGGCGCAGGCGCTGACGCGGTGGACCCTGGTGCTGATATCACAAGTTCATCGCCATGTCGTTGCAGCCCGGCAGTGCCGAACATGATGATGCCACTTTTACAAGCACATGCCTCACATATTCTTGAACTTCTTGTGCATTTCAGACAGTCCATGATGCACATAATGCTAGCCAGATGACAATACACAAGGAACATCACAAGCACTCATACTTGTAAGCTTAGTGACACGACCGTAGTGGCTCCTATCTAGGCTGTTTTTATCGACCGCTAGGTGTCTTGTGAGGTTTTCGGTTTGGGCTCAACTGCCCCTAAGCACCTGAAGCGTAGACCAGTTCATATCCATTTCTATTGCCCTTGGCAGTCGGGGTTTGGAAGAATCTTTCCCGAGTATGCATTCGCTCGTCTCTCGTGATCGTGGGTGTTATAGCGCTATGCCGCCTGTTTCGCTTGTAAATGTTTGCCAAGGACTTCGAGAGTTTGGATGCTATTTGGCAATCTGAGCAGGTCCGCACCGCTGTGGAGCAGGAATGCGGCTTTTTTTAAGAGTGGACATGCTGTTGGCCCAGGAGCCAGCTGATAGAGGAAAAGATGGGTCCACTATTCAAAGTTGTGGAGGGAGATGCTAGCAGATGGAGAGATGTATATACAAATAGATACATTACACACACACACACTATATATATAGTAGGTATATTCACACACATATATATATATATATGCGTGTGTGTGTGTGTATGCAAACAAATCATTTGGTATCTATCATTCACATCAAAAAAAGCGACCGCTGTGGAGTTGCTTTGTTTCAATGTATTGTTGGGAAACTGCAGCATCCTGAATAAGGACTAAGATCAGTTCGCCACTTCAAAGTCGCTGCAGTCGGACTAGGCCTGTCCACAGGTGGAACCGTCTAATTTTTAACTTGTTCTTGAACAGAGAATCTTTTGTTGCCGCAGGCCAAATCACCATTTGATTTTGGATATGTGACATGTTGCGCTGCCATGCCTTCTCGTATTGCATTCCTGCACGCATGTTGCTCATCTCCTGATTCTTGTCCGTGCACCTCGGAATCCTTCAACCTGCGGTCAGCATTATCTCCTCTCAACTTGATTGCCCTAAGTTGTGTCACTGCTGCTCGTCACACATGATTTCATGTCAAACCTCAACTCCTTCCACTTCATCCATCCTCTCTTCTCGAATTTCTTGTTTGTCTTCTTGTAGCACCTCTCCTTCCCTCACCCTTCCCCTTCTGTTCGCATGCATTACCACCAATCTTCGCGGTGCCATGTGGTACCCGAAGACTCAGCTTGGAACGCAGCAAGAACCACACATTTCCCTTTGTGCTATGCGTATGTTGAGTTTCTGGCTCGCGAGACGCACGGAAGACCATGGTAAGACGTGAAGAATCAACTGGCATCCTAACCATCAAAAGAGCCTTTGTTTGCAGCTGGTTGTCTCGACCGAGCGAAGAATGTTTCAATGTTGAAGCATGTGGGGGTATGATTGAGCATGTAGGATTGAGAAAAGGGACCAGCTACATCCAGAAGAGCACCTTTCCCAAACTGGTGTTGACACTCCAGACAAGAATTGGACACCATGATGAGACTGTGGAGCAGAGCTCAGTTCTGAGTACTGCACGCCGCACAGGGAATCGCCGTGTTTGGATTGGCTCGCTCGGTAGCTACAGCGACCAAATTTATTTGCTTGTTAATGTCTTTGATGCAGCACTTTGGCACAAGTCCGGGGCTCATGGGCACTTGGCATTGCCACCCTCCCAGAAACTTGGATAAAATGTGCCCGACGGCCCGACGCCCAGGCAAGTCTTTGCACAGAAGCACTGAGAAGCCGAGGCGACATATGGATGGCGGGTTAGGAGATGGACCATGTGGAGGGCCAATAGGCGTGGACAGACGAGTGGTCAACTCAAGCTCGCCTGTGGTTTGAATGTGCCAGTGGGTTGCAATTCTGAACAATGGAAGAGCATTGAGAAACCACATAACAACATGGCAAGTCAGCAGCAGGCAGAGACTCCCTATGCACCATGTCACCACGAGTCCCTAGTGATCTATGGCATTGTGTACATGTTGCAATTGTTTGCACTGTTTGTGCTTTCTTTGCGAGGCTCTGAAAGCCCAAGCATGACGAGCAAAGGCAATGGGAAATGCATTGGCATGGGGAACGGTTGCGGCATGGGAGGAATGTGTGGTGGCATGGGTGGAATGGGTATGGGAGGCATGGGAGGGATGGGAGGCATGGGCAACATGGGCAACATGAGCAACAGCATGGGCAACATGGGGATGGGGAAGGGTGGGATGGGAAGCATGGGAAGCATGCAGATGGGCAACATGGGCAACATGGGCAACATGCCCATGGGGAATATGGGCATGGGTGGAGTTTCTGGCATGTTTTTCAACCGTATGACGTATGCAATTTGAAAATGCCATTACGTGTCTTTCCTGTTGCGGGTTGCCGCGCGCCAGGTGGATGTTTGCCTGGCAACATGCCTGGAGGCAACATGGGTGGAATGGGCATGGGAATGGGCATGCCCGGAAACATGGGTGGCAACATGGCCGGCGGAAACATGGCTGGCGGCAGCATGGCCGGCAACATGGCCGGCGGCAACATGGCCGGTGGCAGCATGGCTGGCGGCAACATGGCTGGCGGCAACATGGCCGGCGGAAACATGGCCGGTGGAAACATGGCCGGTGGCATGGGTGGCGTTCAGGCTTGGACATTCGGAATCAGATGAGAGAATTAGGTCGGATAGTTTTGACACCTGTCAGGGCAACAACATGGGTGGCAGCATGGGGAATGGCAACATGATGGGTGGCATGAACCCCATGATGGTGGCGACCTTGGGAATCGTACAGTCTGCCTCAGTGTGCTGTGATTGACGGAGGCAGGTCAGGTCTTGCTCAAACTCACCAACATCATGCTTGATGTTGCTGAGGCAATGATGGGCATGATGATGGGGATGCAGGCTGCGATGCAGACTGGCAGTGAAGCTGCTGCCGATGCAACTCCAACCATCAAGTCCGAAGATAAGCATGCCACCTGTCATAAAGTCCAATTGACACCAAGTGAAGCTGAAGCTCTTGTGCTTCTTCTTCTTCTTCTTCTCTTTTTTGGGGGGGCTGCGTTTGCAAGACGGAGGGTTGGGCAGCTCGTTTTAATCTCCTTTGCCTTTGCTTAGCTCACTCAGGTAGATCCTCGAGTCAAAGCAATATGCAATGACTTTGGCATTAGCGGTGACACGGTCATGAGGCACGCGGTAATGACACGTGATGTGTGTGACGCACAGTGTTTGGTTCACGCAGCTTGGTGCAGGCTGAATGATGCCATGAGGGAACGAGAAGACTACGATGAGGATTTGCAAGCCCTCCACAAACTGATGGAGCGAGCCACGAAGGAGTCTTGTCAGTTTCGCAAACGCCTTTGTTTTGCTTTGCCCCGGAGGCCAGGCGGTATGTAGACATACTTTGTTGATACAGTTGGCAAAAGAAGTGTCGTGCTTCCAAGAGTTCCTTGTGCATTGAGGATGGCAAGAAGCCTCTTGAAGTGATGCTTGCCCAGATTCGTGCCATACGTGCAAACCGGTTTCCTGGGAAGGACGGAGCGAGGGGATGCTTTTAAAACCTACCGCCTTCGCGGCCCTCGACCTTCAGGAGTTGTAGCGTTCTTTGCTCCTAGTAAGAATGCTCCTAGTAGTACGGCCAGGAGCCCCTAATAGCGTCCTTGCTCCTAGTACCGATGCCAGGAGCCCCTAGTAGCGAACCTTGTTACCACCGCCTTCGTCAGGAGTTGCTGGATCCTGACATTTGGGAGTTCATTGTGAAGTACAATTTAGATGACCGTGTCATGAATCGCCTCATTGAGACGCTGAACAAGCGGAGGGGCAAAAGCAAAGAGACCCTGGAGGCGAAATCGGATGAAACCGAGATCAGTTTTTGTGAAATCAAAGAACACAAAGATCAAACTCGAGTGTCATTTTGTGTCAGGCATTGAATGACCGCTTAGGGAACGCTCAGCAGCCTACAGGCCTTGGGCTTTTGGTCTTGGCCTTGGTTTGAGCCGAGTAAATCACGCCTTGCGTTCCCGAAGTCCGTCCGTGAGGTCCGGCTGCTTGAGGGCCTAGACGAGCTCCACTCTCAGATCTCTGCGGTGACAAGTCGTTGTGAGACCTGTCACTCCATGCATTTGAATGTCAAGGACGGGTAGATTACCCTCGCCACCCAGACGCTTGGGTGGTTCGGGTACATTCCGTCTTGGCCCCAGCATGTGCAAATCACTGCCCATGAGCCTCACAAGGCTCACCAGTCTCACCAGTGCAAGACGCCTCTGAGGGCCGACTGGAACATTCTTGCACCCAGCTGCATCGTGCAACTCCAAGTTGACACCAAACACGGTGTAGTACACGTGCAAAAAATCATGGAAATCATGCGCGTACGTGTTTCAAAACTGTCGCAGCATACTTACAGGTCGCGGGAGGCTCGTGAAGCCCGGGAAAGAGAGCAGGAAAGAAGTGAGGCACTTGGTACAAGGCTGTCCGTTTGAGAATTCACGGCTTTGCAATATGTATCGATTCATGCTTGGATGTTGCGAGTTTGTGTGGTGGCTGCTTTCGTATTGGAATCCCAACTTCTGGTTGTCACAGACGATGTCAGAAACACAGGGAGAACTATATACATATCAGATGGCCTTCAACCCTCTCAACTCAACTACACCATGGTACTCGCAAGAACGCAGTGTTTCCCGTTTGGAGAACTCGGCCAACTTGGCCTCAGGGCCAACATGGCCCGTGTTCTGCCAGAGCCCACACGTGCCAAACTTGCCCACGATGCACGTGTTCCGACCCTCAAGTCCCAATTCCTGCCACGGTCCCTTCTCCTCGGTTGTTTTGAACAGTGGGACGATTAATTAAGCAAGGCAATTTTGAACGAGCAAATGCATATTGAACAACAGGAAAAGAAAAGACAAGAAAAGGAAGGAAACGGAAACAGAAACGGAAAAGGAAAAGGAAAGGAAAGGGAAGGAAAGGAGCCGAAAGGGAAGGGAAGGGGAAGGAAAGGAAATAACAGAAAGACAGGTTTACAGGTGTCCCTGCGGCTCAGTGACGAGTCATGCCCGCGAGAGAGAGAGAGAGTGGGTCCCTGTGGGATGGCTGATGGGCAGCCAGACTTGGGAGAGAGAGAGAGGTCTAAATCAAGAAAAGGTCCTAGTAGATTCCTTTGCTTGTAATTACAATTCTAATTAAATTACACTTAAATTAGTAAGCTTTTTGTTACTACTAGTAAGGCACCTGTTACTACTAGCGAGGCACCTGTTACTAGGTAAATCAAGAGAGGAAAGAAAGGCACTGCTTGCACAGCGAAGTCGGTGGTGGCCACACTTCCCGCAAGAAAGGGCCTCAGGTCTAGAATGCAACGATTCCTTGCTTTAGACCACTTAGCAGTTGACTTCTTCTTCTTCTTCTTCTTCTGTAGCTTCTTGTTACTAGTAGTGATGCCCTTTGCTACTATTATCTTCTTGCTCCTAGTAGTAAGGCCAGGAGGCCCTAGTAGCATCCTTGCTCCTAGTAGCGATGCCAGGAGACCCTAGTAGCATCCTTTCTTGCTCCGTCTTTTTCCCAATTGCTCGTCGAAATCCAAGGCAGAGGTCGCCAGTCTGAGCGGCGTTCACGGTCTCGGGGCCGTGAGGCGCGACGGTCACGATCGCGGCGCCGGTAAGACTACCTGCGCTCGGTGAAAATAGCGCGAAGCTTTTGGGAAGCTGCCTTCCCACGTTTTGACCAGAGTTTCGCATTTTCTGCTGCGAGACTATGTTAAAGACTAGACATGCAAGTCTTCATGTCATTGCCATGAACGTTTTGGCCTAGGATTTTGGCAGCAAACCGGAGGCCGGCAATCTTGTTATGCAGTGGTTGGCGGGCTGAGCACACAGAGTTCAAACTGCTTCAGCTCTTATGCTGGCTTTGCGGCGACCGTGCCATTGTCATCGAAGATGTCAGTGGGTAATAACATGACTTGGTTTGGGCTCCTTGCTTTGCCTTGTGTCTGGTGGACACAGTAGATAAGATTTTTTTTGCGACCTTTGCCAAGTCGAGCCCGTTCAATTGAGGCATAGTGGATACAGCTTTTGTGAACCTTCTGTGAGGTGGCGACGCAAGAAGTGCAAATCACGAGTAGAAATGAAGTCTCTTGCTCACGAGACTTGAAATTTTGGAGTCTGAATCAGTCTCAACCTGTTGGGTCAAATGCTAAGATTGTTCGTTTGGTTTGGAGACTTCACACCCGTATTTGGCACGATGCACTGCACATTTTTTTTGCTACAAACATGGGCGGTTGCCTTGCGGTTGCTTTTGCATGCATTGACTCCAAGAATTAGCAAGTTTGCAAATTGAACAAGCACATCCTGAGTTCATGTGCGCATATTCCTGGCTCAGCTTATTATTGTTGTGGCCCCACTTACGAGCCCAGCCTGGTGTGCGCCATGCCCCGGCAGCATACGACTTAGAACAGATTGCCTGCAACATGTCATTGGCGTTTCAAAGCCCTTGAGTTGACCTTTCGGCAACCCCTTAGTAGCAATTCTAGACATTTGTCTCCCAGTCTGGGCTACTGTGCCTGCCTTTTGGCAACTCCTTAGTATTTGTATATATGTAGCAATTCTTTACATTTGTCTGTCTCCCAATCTGGGCTGGTGTGACCACCTTCCAATGGTGATTTTTTCGAGATGCAGGCTTATGGGGGGTCAACTGTTTGGGGTCTACGGTGGTGTAATTTTGATCTGAATTTATGCTTGAAATAATAAAGCAAGAAATGGTTTGAACAGGAACGACCTGGTTCTTTTTTGCTTACCGGCCGTGTGAGCACAGGTTTGAGAACTGAGGTTTCGACTGTCTGCAGCTTCGGCCTACAGCATCTATGAGATGTCTTCCCGCCTCTGCTTCTGATCATGGCAGCTAGTACAGTGTACTAGTCCAGCGCACTAGTCCAGCCGCCACGTTGTCAGGTACTCCCAAGATTGGTGTGCTATTGACGATGCTTTGGACGGAGCCTTGATGTTTGGACAGAGCGTCATTTTCAGAGCTGGTGTGGAAGCAACACTGGCCACAAGGAGTCTGATTCGAAAAATGTAGCTTGAGGACCGGACTTGATACGTGGCCCGGTTCTGCAGAATACATATAATATTATATATTTATATATTTACACATAGATACAGACATTTGCGCATACAATAAAAATTTGCACAAAAGATGCAGTAGAAAAAAAAACAGGACAACTAGAACAGGAGGACAGCAGGAGAGTGCACACGCACAGGCATCCCTGCTTCACTCTTTCCAGCTTCTTGGGCCATCGTTACTAGTTAAGTTTCCAAAAAAATATTGGAACCAAATCATTAGTGCTTGAGCTATCCTGCGTCCTGCCGGTAGTAGCTTACTACTAGCTACCGTTTGCTTCTACGAGCTACCTAGCTAACCTACCTCTACTTGCGGCCGACCCCCCCCAAAAAAATAAATACACATAAAAGAAAAACACTTGTATTCTTTTTTTCACTCTTTCCTGTTTCCAGACCGAGGTGGAGACGGAAACTATGTGCCCCGAGTGCTGCACTAATGGAAGTTTGGCACAAAAGTGACAAGTGAAGCAAAAGGAGAAACAACACATGTTCTGAGTCTAAAGGAAAGAACTAAATCAAGAAAAAGGAAAGGTCTAGAGGTAAAAAAAACATAAGCGACAGGAAAAGCTGACTCAAACCACTTGAACTTGGAATGCCTGGCCTCCTTGGCTCTTCCAGGTGTCACTTCTTTCAATCCCACATACAAAAAGCATCAAAAAAACATTTCAACCAAACACCAATACCAAAGCATTCCTTAGGAACTTGGATGTTCATGGAACACCGTCCCCGAAGTGTAGATTCTTTGTCGGTGCCCATGGCTTGTCAGTGCACAGGACCCCGGAGCAACGGTCTGAGACAAGACGGCATTGAGTCTTACACGAGCCGGAAGGATTCAATGCCTTAAGTTTTGCATTGCGTTCTTAAGAGGCGTTGCATTCGTTGCATTTAAGCCAAGAGGCGGCATCGCATTCGTTCTGCGTTGGCTCTGAGGCTGAGCTTTTCATGGCGACTTCTAAATACCCACCAGGTGTGCAACATGCCGAAGTGACCCGTGAGGTTTGTGGCACGGGTGTTAAGAAGTAGAAGCCTTGCTAGGGAGATGTAAGCGGGAACGGGCGTGTATCGCTTGGACATGGTGGTTGGCCAGGGCTTCGCTGATGACCCTTCAGCCATTTGACACTGGCGTGAGGCCAGGGCTTGCGGCTTCGCAGTTTTCGACCTTGTTAACTGATCCTGTCGCCGAGGCACCGAGTCGATATTATGGTACCTGGCCAGGCAGGAACGACCAACGGCGTTCTATCCGTTCGTGTTTATTCAATCTGCCGTTTGCACTTGTTGGCCGTAGGAGCTCATGCTTGTCTCTTGAACGCTGGTGCTTGAGGTCCCAATAACTCTTGACGAGTTGGGCGAGGAAGTAGTGGAACGCGAGGCCTGCATTATTCAGCATTCCTCGATGCCAGCAGCTTGGATCCTGATATCTTAATCAGTTCCGCCGCATTTAATCAGGACTGCAAGTCTCTACCTCACGAGTTCTACAAAGGTCGTTTTGATCAAGCTCTGCTGCGATTCAGCAAAGCTTCACTTCGTGCAAACATGTGCTAGGACACACAATGGTGATATTACAAGACTCGCACATGAGAAAGGACAGCATTCGTATTATCCAGCCTGTCTCACGGCATTTGTATCACAACATAGACAGAGGTTCTTTAATCCCTGCCATGGCATGCATTTCCGGGGCCCTTGGCCTCTCATAACGTTCGTGGCCTTCTCGTTGCTGCTGTTGTGGCACAACTTCGATGCAGCCGAACAGTGGAGCGGCCTGAAACCCAGTTGATCTTGAAGAGGTTGCAGGATGCCTTCATTGCTTCATCACGTGTCTCGCACCCGTCAAGGACGAAAAGGAAACCTTGTATTGAATGAGCTGAAAGAAGAGATTGAGAAGCACAGGAAGGAGATTGTTGAGATAGTTGGCGTCTTGGTGTTTGATGCTTTTTGGTTTTCAGATCCTGTTTGCACAGCTGCCGGAGACCGTGCCCTTCCGTACAGGAGATCGCAGATCTTCATCGAGATGTTGAAGATGTCAGGTGCTTCTCCGACCGAGAGAGTGTTTGTGACAAGAATGCCGAAAGGACCCGGCATCAGATCCAGCAGTTTCCAATGTTGAGACCTGTCACACAAAGCCCACGATGTCGATTAGCGGGTATAACGGTATAACCATTTGGGGATTGTGCAACCTACTCTCAATACAACGAAGCCCGCACCTCCATTACCTGCGTCTCGGTGAGTGGGAATAGCAGGCCGACAATGAAATGAAGCTGTATGACTTTAGTAAGAGAGAATGCAAAAAAAGTGAAGCCATGAGTATTTATTGAATTCAACAATCTGAAGAGTCTTGAGATGGTTGGCACAAAATGAGCTGACGGAGAGGCGTTCTATGTCGTCAATGGGGTCGCATGAGGACTCGGACGGGGTTGAAGGGATCCCAAGGGACCCACTCGACGGAGCAACATGTCTTTTACAGAATCAATGGAAAAAGGACAGTTTGAAAAAGGACAACCCTGCCCCCCTGCCCTTACCTTATTAATTTTTTCATATTGTTTTTCTATTTGGAGAAGCTTTGGTAGGTCCGCCGGTACGAGTGGCTCGGATGCTTCGGCTCCCACTTTTGGGGCTCGGAGGCTTCCTTGAAGAACCTTTCGGTCGTAGCGTCCGATCGCTCCGTTCGTAGTGATGCCCTTTGTTACTAGTAGCAAAATGGAAACTGATTCTAAGGGAAACTCGTGTTCCAAACTCATTCAGTCCTTGACAAGTTGCAAAGGAGATGGCGGAAGATGCTGAAGGGGAAGTGCAGAAAGGCCAATGCAACATCTTTGCTATGTGGAACTACCCAAGTGGACCACCCATGCTTCATGGCAAAGGATTGGTAGTGAGTCCACGCCTAGCACGTGGCCACGAAGCCAAGGTTTATCCAAAAGAATTTGGAATCCTGGGTCCACTATTCCCAGGGACGTTGTCGATTCCCCTGGCTGATCAATGAGACCAACATCAGAGTTACTTGACAGTTGACTTGAACATTCTAAACAGGCCACGGGCCGTAGGAAACATGCAGATTCGGCATTCCAATTGAGAGACCTTACGTACTCCGATGCAAGTTCAAGGTACAGAGTGATCGTTTGGGAAGCTGATCACGCGCAACAGATTCCAACAGATTTCTGGCGCAGAACATTTGCCGTCGCTCCTGAGGAATTCATTCCAGACCTTCCTGCAGAGTACGATCGTATGCCTCCGGATTACGATGCTGCAAAGTCAGATGTGGTCAGGCAATGCGAAATAATGCGAAGTAGCTCAACCATTGAAATTGCAGGTGGGAATTCCTTGACAATGCTTGTATTTGAAGGTATGCCTTGCTGTACCACCACGGAGGCATATACTTGGACACTGCCATGAGCTTAAGAGTCAGTCCACTGACACCGCTGACGATCGCTATAGAGCTGAAATAAGAAGTGGGGAACGCAACGATCTTTCTTGTTTCAATCTGGTCTCTGAGGATTTTCTAGTTGCCCGGGATCTCTCACCTGTACTGGACCGCATCGAAGATCATGATATTGTGTCGTATACCACCACCGGGCAGGCTTGCCATAGAGGGACATTCAGTTGCTCGGCGCATTTAGTTGGCAAGCTACTTTTCCGTGAGCATGGTGCAGAAAGGATTCATCAACTATATGTGAATCACCGGACACCAGATGTGCCTTGGCACTCCAAGGTTCCAACTTCTTGGCAGGACGTAAGGGCAGCAGCGTTTTTGAGGCAATTTGGAATGCGCAGAAGGAGGCAGCGGGGAATCAACATATCAGTGGAGTTTCCGAGTCCATTTTCGACGCTCCAATCAAGTGCAAGGCATTGTCCAACCATTGTGATGACAAGTTGCCTGCAAATGACAGGAAAGTGTCTTGTCAGCAAAGTTATGGCTCTCATCATCTGCATCCGCCACTGTCCCCCCATGCTTGAACAAACACATTCTTCAATCAGGGCGCTATCCAGACATCCTTCAAAAGAACATGAACCATGCTCCAGTTCAGAGTTCAGACACAAGGAGATGATGACAAACAACTCGGCATGTGCAAGGCCACTATCGATGCTAAACGTGAAGGAACTTGAGCGTAGCATTCATACAACAATATCACTTGCTCAGCTTTCTGGTTCATTGGTGCTATCTATCTATCTATCTACCTATCTATCCATCTATCTGCATAAACAAAGGTCCACATGAGCTTACCCAATTTCTATTTGCCAATGATCGTCACAATGATCATCACCAATCTCACCACATTCTATTTGATTCTTCTCAGGGGAAGAGGGCTTTGAATTTGAAGCAGGTTCGGGCTCAGGTTTGTTGCTCGGATGACTTGGAACGCCCATGTCACATTCCCTGGGCCGGCATCGGAGAAAACGTGGCGCACCCAGTGCTGCCTGGCATGGAGACTCCTGGCGTTGGGCGAGACGAATGTGTGGTCTCTTTTTCTCTTGGCACTGGGCTGCCTTTTGGTGACTATGACTATACTGTTGTTCTGTGCAGCTTGAGGCTCAAAAACATGTTGATGATGCGGACAGGCATCAAAATCTATTGCTTTGAAGGCAGCTGTGCACAAAGGAATCTAGACTAGACATTTCCTTCTATTCTAGGATCGCTGCTGGATAATTATCAAGAGAAGCACAGCTCGGATTTCTTTGCCAACTGTCAGCTGGCAGGGAAAGATAGCTTCGTCCCTCAGAACTTCTTGGACATTTTGAAGAAGCATCCCAAGCTCGATGATGCAGAACCTTGGCTGCGACCTAGGCTTCAAATTCCATTCACTTGCGACATTTCTTGTATTCGCTCGTGGCACGAACCTGCTCTTCCTACTTTCATTCTTTGATATCGTTTCAGGTTAAAGCTTTCCAACGAAGTGGCGCCGCTCTGGCTAGGAGTTCTCATGCTTTGTTTGTGCTCGGGGCAGCTTGCGGTGCAAAAGAAAAAACAAAAAGAAAAGGTCAGGCCTTATTTTTACTCTCCAGCCGGCACAATGGAGTCTTCGGCGACCGAGCTTCCGCGAAGGTCAGTAGCAACCAAGAACAGTACATCAAATGAACAAATCAAAGGGAACACACTAGGAGGCAGGGGTGTCTTTCGCACCCCTGCAGAAGGTTCGACATAGCCCATCAAGAACCTCGTTTTCAAGAAAAACTTCAGCACCCGGGAAGCAGCCTTTGGGGTAGGTCTTGCCGTTATTCTCGTTCTTAAATTACCGTGTCAGTGGGGCCACAACAGGGGGCCTTATTCAAGGGGCCTTTACCTTTTCTTTTGTGCAAACATCTAGGAACCAAAAGATAGTGCGAGCGTGAGCTATCCTGCGTCCTAGCTAGTAGCAGGTTACTCAGTAGTAGCTATGCTACCTAGCCCTTACTTGATTATGTAGGCGCCTACTTAATTGAGTAAGGGTGGGCAAAACATTTTTTATGTCACCGTTTCAGGTGACGAACCCGTTGGAGAGGCTGATGTATCATCTCTTCGCTTCACAGGGCTTTGGGGCTGATCATGATGGCGCAACACTCTTCGACCCCTCCACCTTTGTGGGGCATTTATATCGTGCCTCAGACGGCGATGCAAACAACACCCGCAGGTCGATCTCATTCCACATGAGCTATGCCTCTGTCGCATTTGAGACTTTTGCTATTACTAATGGTCCAAGTCGACATCTATAGTGTGCCTTCTTGGGTTCCACAATGGCGTTTTTGCATCGAATCCGGACCGATCTGTTCAGATTTCACAATGTGCGGTCTTTGGTCTTGGTCTCAGTAGTAAGCTGCCCATGAATTAATTTCCCAAGAGAGACTCATTGGGTAGTCAAATTGAGGGGGCCTCTGGCCAGGTCCCGTTTAAGGTAGGGGTCATCAAAAAGGCCTCGGCCAGTGAAAGCCTACAGTGCTTGGGCACCCGTGGGTTGAGGCAAAAGTGTGGGAAGCTTCACAGAGATCCCACGAGATCCATTGGACGATGGGCCTGGATTCATTTGTGCAAATGATGGAGATACTTGCAAATGCAATGGGAAGGTTCCAGGCTTAAACCGCGCGGAACCACCAAGCACTGAAAGAGCTACAGTGTCATGTTGAAACTTGTTGGGTGTTTGGTTTGAGGTGTTCTACGGGAGACGTTTCCAAAATGATGGGAATGGTGTGAGGGCAGAGCTTAAAGATCTTATCAAGAAACGGTATGTGGTCAAGGAAGTACATGGCCGAGTGCAATGCACGGTTGACGTGTTTGGTGATCCAATATTCACCGTGCCAAAACATTGTGTTTGCCAGCCTCGTGATGAAGCATCACGCAGCGGACACGACGAAAATATTGAGAAGCGCAGACAGAACCGCAAAGACACACTGCAGCCAGGCAACTTTCTGTCTAGATTCTAGATTTCAATTGACCAGAAACTCCTGTTTTGCTAAGTTGCGGGACAGCCTTATGCCATACAAGTTGTCATGAGTTCCTGTTGCCGCTCGAGATTCTTTATGTCAGGTGCATGGGCTAAGTCCAAGGTGGGACCGGGCTGAAGTATTCAATTATTCACGCAAAAGCTACATTGCTTGGTCAAAAGAGGATCCCTTTCTTCGCAATGAAGCTGTTCCAAGAATCTCATGTGTGTGTCTAGGCCTCGTGAGTCTCCACGAGGTGGCTTCTTCGAAGGCAAAACTTCAAACTCTGAAGTCATTTGGTCAATAAATCCTTCAACCACGTCATTTCCCAGCAATGAGACTCTTTCGCTCAAAGCGATTCGCACCATTCCACATCGCAGGCCAAGTCCAGCAGGTGTGGATCAAAGCCCACAAGTTCACAAGTTCACAAGCGGTCGCATTGGCAAATTCACACGACATGGCACGCCAGATGTCCGTCAGGCAGAGAGCAGACTTCTATGGGAGGCTCCCAGGTGCAAGTCGTTGTGGATTTGTGTGCTTAGCGTTGCAACAAGAAGCTACTAGTAACAAAGGGCACCGCTACCAGTAACAAGGACGCTACTAGGGGCGCTCCTGGCCTTACCACTAGGAACAAGAAGCTACTAGGAGCCAGGGCATCGCTACGAACGTAACAAGCTTCTCATTGCTCGTTTTGTTTCTCAAGCTTCTGGACTCCAGGACGTCTGACCTTCGAGTTCCAGAGGACAGGCTACGACAGAGATTAGAAGGTCCAAAAATGTCATTCACCCCGGCAGGACTACACACGTCTTTCCAGCAAGACATCCAAGACATCAGGCTGAAAAGCGCTGCTAGTAACAAAGGGCATCGCTACTAGGAGCAAGGACGCTACTAGCAGCTCCTGGCCATACTACTAGTAGCAAGATGCTATTGTAAAAGACAAGGTTGTTGCGGCGGGGCTTTCATCGAATTCTTTGGAGGGATGTTTCAAGGAGAGAGATCTTGATGTGAAGACATACAGAGCAATCCAGCGCGCAAACCCCGTGCAAGACTTCCTTACTCATTTAGACCATTTGGTTTGGCTTCCTTTTGTTTTCCTTTCTTCCTTCATCCTTTTTATGATTTGCTTTCATTGTGCAAGATTCCACGCAGGCACAAGCGTCCACTCCAACGATTTGGATCGGGTGTTGAGGGCCGAAGTGGCTTTGGTGACCACCTGGGAAGAAGATATTCGGAACCTGAGATGCATGACACATATCAATACTGCCCATCCTTGTGGGATTATATAGTTTAGCTATCTTTAGTTTCTTGCGCTTGGTACCTGGTCAACTCCATTGCTCCTGAAAAGGATGCAAAGGTCAGCTGCCAGTAGGCAGAACAAGCCGTGCATTGGTTGGCTGTGCGGCTGTTGGAAGGAAGTGGGGAAACGGCGATGCCGGGCCTTTTTCAAGTTCTTGCCAAAGTAGAAAGAAGTCTTAGATTCTTGTAGGTAGATTAGCAAAGATGACATTCCAAACGGACTCTGAATGCTAAGGATGTACTGCAGAATACTGTCTGAAGATTGGCGATTTCAAGCCTGCACGACAGCTCTGACCATTTTTGCTCTCATCGGAGATGATGCACGCTTACTGCTTACCAGCAGCTCAAACAAATACGTGGGGTTTGCATAGGTGAGCATTCTTTGTTCAGCATTTGTTCAAAGTGTGTACTTGAGGAAACGCTACTTTTCTACAGTTTTCCATGTGGACACTCTTTTTTTGTGCTTTTTGTGTTTTCTGGATTGATCAGTTCAGAGGAATTTTAGACGATAGATGTTGCTTTTGCACGCAATCCTGCCGCTGTCTTAAATGGGCTGTGCAGGGAAGACCCAAGTTATCTAGTTGACTTGGTCAAGTGGCATTACTGCCAGCATTGCTCCAGGCAAAGAGGCCGACAACTTCTTCAATATACTGATAGTCTTGGCCATCGTAATATTCATTGTTGAGATTGTCGCGGCCTCCTTGGGCATACGTGGGTACTTCAACAGCTTCTTTTTCTACCTGGACAGCCATTTGACAGTGCTGAGAGTGAGTCACTTATGCTCACCATGGCTCACCTGCTTTTGGATGACAGGACTTCATTGCGACTGCAACGATGTCGATGGACCTCACATGGTTCGGCAACTTGATATACTGTAAGGATCTCTCAGATCTCAGTCGCTTGAAAGCAAGGCAAGTCTTCTGACAGTTTTCTGCAAGTTCTTTTGTGCTCAACATTGCCAAACCAATTTCAAGGACCCGCGATCACTAGCCAAAGCAGCCTGGAGACTTTCTTGTCGAATCTGACAGACACACGCGCTAGCCGTGCCGTACGTATTCTCAGACTGGTTCGCCTTGGCAAGTAGCTTGGAATGAGGGCGATCAGGTGAGGGATTTTGGGTCTGTGATCGGCCATGCAAAGTGGTAGCGTCCTTGCTCCTAGTAGTAAGGCCAGGAGCCCCTAGTAGCTTCTTGTTAGTAGCGATGCCAGGAGCCTCTAGTAGCGTCCTTGCTCCCCCCGAAAGAACGCGGCAACGAGAAAAATTTCGAGCAAACAGCGAAATGAACACACGATAAGACATGTTTCACTGGTTTCGCTTGGTCGGCCATACTCGGCCATTCTAAGGCGGCATCGGTGTGTTTTGAGGGTCATTGGCATGGGAACAGATGTGTTTGCACAAAGGGATGTCAACAAGTATCTTGATGCATGGGCTGCATGGGCATGTTTGCAAAGGGGCCTCACAGTGTCTTGGGGGGGCATCGCCGTGTGCATGGTGCTCACAATCGAAGAGGGTGTCAAAATGAGCCTTGCAACGCTTTCAGGTGGGGGCCGCATGAAAGCGTTGCCCTTTTCGGCGCAAACCGCAAAAGGTCGTTTCAAGGTGCCTTCAGGTTGGGCGTCATATTGTAACAAATGAGTCCAGCAAAATCACTAAGTACATTCGAGTTTCCATCATTTTTTTCTATTTCGCAGTTCGGTGAGTTTCGAATGAGGTCGCTGCGACCTCACAAAGCCTAGTGGAAGTGACTTACAGCTTGTAGAATCGAGAAGGAACTTGTCACGTGAAACAAACAGCTGGCTGGAATGAAATTTCGGTGTGCAGTCACATCCCTGATTGTAGACCCTTGAAGTACCTGGATGCTGACCTTTGGGAACACATTCCCCAGTTTTTAGGTCTACGGGGACTTGTTAAGGATTGATATCCGGGGGTCCAACTGAGGTTGTACAGATTCTATCAGAGAGGAATGGAGAATCGATCGGAGCCATTGTATGCGGTACCGCCGGGAAGTCCTCTGGAGTCTCAACAGGCCTACACTGCAAACATCTATCAAAAATTTGCATAGCAAAATTCATCGCATAACGAGATGGAGACGAATGTCTTGCCTAACAAACTCGCCGTCGCGTGCAGGAGTGGGACCTCACCAGTGATGTGAAGCAAGACGATGATGACAAGGAACGGGACGTGATGAACCACGATGGTCAGGAAGAAACGCGTTCCTTCGCAGCATGAATCAACCAGAATCAGAAGCGAGTATCAAGATTTGAGGTATCTTGGCGAGTGCAATTGAACCCAAGGAGTTGGAAAGAAGCTTTCTGATATGACATCTCGTCGGGTGATCGTCCTTATTCTGGTCATGCTTTTTTTGCATGGCACCCAGATTATTGGAGAACTCAATCGGAATTTCCCAAAACTTGTTGGCTTAGTACGGCTTGTCGGAATAGAATGCGCTTTGAAGGCTCCTTCTTCTTCACGGTCGATAGCTGGGGCATTGAGTTCGTACTGTCTGGATCCATTGGGCCGAACTTGATCTATCAGCCACCAGCCTCTGATTCAGTGCATTTCTTTCAGGCAAAGAGGACGCTACTAGGAACAAAGGGCATCGCTACTAGGAGCAAGGACGCTACTAGGGGCTCCTGGCCTTACTACTAGGAGCAAAGGACGCTACTAGTGTTTAGCCCACCAAACATGCGTCAATTGTCAACTTGCAAGCTTGCCGACACGCACGGGCTGTGAGACACGCGCTGCTACTCAGCTTTCATCCGGCTTGCCCGCAGACGCACCAGCGTGCACAGCTTTTTGCTATTAGGTTGGATGTAAGTTACCTGAGCGTTCGAGTGAGTGAGGAAGGCTTTGCCCCAAGATGTCCACACAAGGGAACCCAAAGGGAACCCCAACGATTCTGGACAGTCTTGTAGGAGTGCCCTGTTTATCCTGAATGCCTGCGGTGTGCACGACATAGCGGCTCGACAAACTTGTGGAACTTGCTAATCGTTAGGCGATTTCGCTCCTGGTGCCCAACGTCTGTAGCCTGGCTCTCAGAGACGTCCTTAAGGTCCTTACCTTCTTGTTTTCCGAACCGTTCTTCACGCGTTTGTTAATCAGATGGCCGATGCTCAGTTTTCATTCGCAGGGCTCTCCGTGGTGTCTCCAAGCGTCAGCTCCAGAACGAACTCAGCCAAGCAAGCAGGAAGAGATGCTCGACTTGGTTCGTTCTGATTCGGAGTTTGGAGGTTCACATGCTGTATCTAGCGATGGCAGCCAAAGGGATAGGAGGTGCAGCCAAGGAGAGCATGGTACGAGCAATACCTGCAAGTATTTATCCGCAGTCACTTGAGCATCCTGTCTGCACACGATCTCACGATCTCGATGGCACTCTCAGCTTGATCAAATCTTCAGCTCCGAGGTGGGCCTTTTGCTTGGCGTCCGGCACCCAAACATTTGTTTGCGCATTTGTTCTGCTTGATGCATTTGTAAACATAAAACTGTTTTTTTGTAGATGTTTTTTTCTATCCTCGTTCTTGGTCAGTCATGATTTGTTTTTTGCTCGGCCGAATAGCCCAGATGTTCTTTAAGCGTTCTTCGCGCTTCTCCAGTCTCAGAGCCCCAATTTGTGCAATTTCTGCTTTCCAGAGCAGGGGATGCTCTGTGTTGACCGAGAAGTTGTTCCACAATCTCATGCTTGAATAGCTGTGTCATGCACTTT